TAATTCGCAAATGATAATAAAATTAAATTAAAAATTTACTGTAGTAAAATTCTATGTCTTTTACCATCTCAAAAACTGGAATTTTTTTGGTTGCCAATGGGGATAGTTAACGACGTCTTGCTCGCCAAATTTTACTCGCGGATACTTTTAAAGCAAACTTCTGTAGCGTAGCTTAATCGAAAAAATTTTGTTGTAGTTGTTTAAGTTTTTGAATGCGAATAATCTGATGGGTAAACCTGAACGAACTAGAAACGCGTAAACTCGCCCTTCTGAACTCTTCGAATAATTAGCGTAGGTATTGTATACTGGCTTGCATACTTGGCTAAGCCCGATTGGTCTAGAGTTTAGAACCAACAGTTTTCTTAGTTCAAAATCAATTTCCTTATGAAAGAACACACCTTTGCTTTTGAAACATCGTGCATGAATACTAAAATCTAAGTGAGTCTAAGCTCTAAGAAAACGGCCATACTCTTATTTGGCACGCTACATAGAAGTTTACATTAATTGCTACAGTTTGAAATGAAGAGTACTGAAGATCTATCAGCTAAAGAATTTTAGTAATTTTTGAAGGACGTCTTATTCGCAACCAGCATGTTAAAAAACCATTGTGCGCCGATTTTACCATTCTGATCTATTATCTATTCTTAAGCACCATTTCGACTTAACCCAGTACACGTGTCCTGAACCTTGGAGTGTGAAATGCAAAAAAACCAGATTAATCGATATTGAGTAGTTATCATGTTCGTCATCGGCTATTAGTTCCCCCACTGGGAGAGCGCGCAGGAGTTCCCAAAGCCTCGCCGCTTCTCCCTGGAGCAACTAATTAGGCGTCCTGGAGGAACCTAACACCTTCCAAGCGCTAGGCTCTGACTCCGCCCATTGTCTGCTCGCAGATTAGTCTGCACAAGGCTAGGGAACGGATGTGCGAACTAAAGACAAAAAAGAAGAATTATGAAACTGGCATTATGCCTCTTTAGGATATCATATGTTCTATAAAATTAGGTGGTAATTGAGCATGAAATTGCACTTCAAACAGATAATATTGAACGTACTGGAGCCAGATTT